TTATTATTATTATTATACAGGATTTATATAGAGCCAACAGTTTGTGCAGCACTTTACAATATGAGGAAGACATTACAATACAATTCAAGACAAGATGGTGAGGAGGGCCCTGCCCATGAGAGCTTACAATTTATTTCAATACGCCCTTACTGGAAATGGTGGTGATTTTTCAAATGTATGTGGGCACAGATATGGAATTGCAATAGTCTGGAGAAGCAGCCCTCTCCTGCCCCAGAACAAAGGGGAAAGTTTAGTGTGTGATTGCACCACACCGCAATTGGTGTGAACAAGCCCTGAACCATATCTTTAAAATAACAACACACCTAGAAATATTTAGTAATGACAATCTACATACACATACTTCTAGATAATTGCAGGCTTTGTATTCTTTGCATTCCTTATTTCTCTTTTCTTTCCCAGTCTTCTGGCAGTGGCAATGGTAACTACTATATATAATACTACTTCAACTATACTACTATACTGTATATAGCATTTTTCTGTGCTAGTACACCTGTCATAAATTACATTCCTTAGAAAAATAAAGTCATACTGGAGCATATACATATACCCTTTTGAACTTAACGGTGAAATAGAGACCGAGATTCTGCTGACATATATTAGGCTAGTAATCATTTTCATTTTAATAACACTGTCTTTCATAAATTGCACTTATTATTTAAATGTCACAAACTAAAGCCTACTGTGATTTAACCATTCTAAAGCTGCAGCCTTACATAAGCTATGATCTACTTGGTTATATTATTGATAGCAAAAACAGTGTTTTATGACCTGTCTCCCATGTAAATGTACATAGCTTTCTATATTAGCGTGTTTATTCAGACCTTTAGGCCACTTCAATAAGTGTTAAATTAAACCTCTCACACATTGGGGTTGATTTACTAACCTTATAAACACACCACGAACATGTATACACCTCTGTAGTGTGTTCCCTCCCAGCATGATCTATTGGTGGAATCTAGACACCTTTGTAGTGTGTACACACCCAGCAGGTGTGTTGTGCAAAGCCCTGCATGAATTGCAAGGTGATGTTGTGTAAATTAGCTCTATGTTGTGTTGCTTGCGTTGATGAATGCAGGAATGTAAATGCATGAGCTAACCATTTTTGTCTAAACTGTGAAGCAGCATTATATATGCATCATGTGCATGATTTTTCCATATATGGCATTAGTGGAAATATGCTTTTAGAGACTTTTTGGTTGATAAATACGTTTTGCTGTGTGAAAATCACACGCACCTGGTGCGTGCGTGTGTTTAGGTTAGTAAATCACCCCCATTGTGTCAATGCAAACTGAGCATATAATGAACAATACATGAGCATGGGTTGTCTTCTGTGAAAACTGCATGTCAAAATGATACTTTGATCCAGAGATATAGGAAAATGAAGATATATGCAAATCTTGACTTTTCTGTGAAAGAAAAACTTGGTCCTGTATTTTTTCACCTCCAAACCTATCTATAGGTCAGTGAGGCCATCCATCTTGTTAAAGAACCAACTGAGAAGCTCACAATGTAGACAGGCTAAGCACAGCTTTATCTAGAAAAGTCAAGATTAACATACATCATCCATTCCAATATGTCTGAATCTAATTATTGTTTTGCCAGTTTTCACTGAAGATAACTTCTGCTTATTCATTTTCTCATAATATGCTATTTAAATTGCCCAGATTTACTTTAGGGATGATGATCACATACAGGAGGGGTTGCTGTCATTGTAAGATCGGATTCTCCATCCCATCTGTTAGATATCTAAACATTTATTATTTAGACGCAATGCTTTTTTCCTCATAAATGCAACTATTAGCTGATTATTTGAAAAATGTCTCAGTCCAAGCTTTGGTTCATTCCATGACACCTCTGTCCAGACTGGGGTCCTGCAGTGCTATTACAGCTTTGGTAGATTCCTGTCTTAATGTTTTCTTGAGGTAAATTATTACAATGGTGAAAATGCCTACCAGTCGTTAAAGCATTGATTTTTTTCTTACAAATGTTGAATGTTGCTATTGAAAAATATATTAACTCACAGATGCTGAATCTAAATCTATTTTTTCAAGGGCAAGGGAAGAGATAATGTTGCATTTAAGCAAATCTGTGCTTTTGCCCATGGTGGGCAAAGACACAGTTTTGCTTTATTGACCTCTTCCCACCATCATATATTCACCTTTTATTTGCTATTTTTTTCTGCTCCTCTGCCTCTCTGTTCTCCTTCCAGGAGCAAGAAAAGGAATCCACATGTAACCATCTAAGTTGCTCTATTCAGAGCTTCCAATTTGTACTGTTATCCGTGTACCAGTGGTGAATATTATCCTCACTTCCTGCCCCAGAGACTGTGATCACCGGGAGAGGAAATGTAAGGGAAAATCTTTAGAATCTCCTGACCATTAGAGAACATTAACCTGCCAAAGCTTCTAAACCTTTTTTTCCCCTATTCAAAAGCTTTTGGGTTTTTGTTTTTTAGTTGGTGTTAAAATTAACCTTTCCACAAAATAAGATAAATTCTGGATAATTTAAAAGAGTAACACCAGACTCACAATGGTTATTTACTTGGATTTAATTTCAATAAACTTGAAGAACTTAAGTAAACCCATCATGGGAAAAGCAAAGAACCTCCCATTGGTGTCCTTTAAAAATGCTTGCAGCCTGGCTGTCACACTGACTTTCCTGCTGTAATACATTCACCCACTGACTCAAGACAAATATGCATATGAGGACTTCTGACTTTTTTCTGTAGCATTCTTCAGGCTTGTTCCAGGTGAATGACCCTGAATGTATGGTAGCCAAAGCATCAGTATGGTAGTCAGTCAACTAAAATTTTAAGAAGGATAGTGGCTCCAATATTTTTCTCAGAGGAGTACAGTGGCTTAGTGGTTAACGCTTGTAGCACTGGGGGGTCCCCGTTCATATCCTGGTCAGGACTTTGCAGGAATTTGCATGTTCTCCCTTTGTTTGCATGGGTTTCCTCCGGGTACACCGGTTTACTTCATATTCCTACTGGAGGGTTTAGTAAGCTTTGTAAGCTTCTTGAGGGCAGGGACTAATGTGAATGTGCATTATGTAAAGCACTGTGTAAAATGTCAGAGCTACAGTAAATAAATACCTGTAGTAATAATAATAATGTGGTTTACTTTGTGTAATGAACCAATCACTCTTCAGGCCTTCCATACAGCTTTTGGCTGGTGCGGACTATTGTTAGTGCTCTATTTGAAGCACATATACACCTACAGTAAACACAGGCAAATTTGAAAACCCCAGGCAATGCAATGGGATCATTAAGCAGCCCAGTTGTTGCATTTTCCCTGCTGTATTGCCCATTAAAGGTTTAACTTTTTTTTGCTACATGTTAATTACAGAAGAATGCACTTTGTATTTATAAGCATGCTTTTGGTCTTGTTTGTAGATGAAGACCAGCTGCGTCTGAAGGGTTATGATAAAACTCCAGACTTTATTCTGGAAGTGCCAGTAGGTAAGTCCATCACATTGCTTTACCTTTTTTACAAGCTTCAGCAACATTGTGTTACCCCTATGCTAACCCTATTGTACCTTTCTTGTCAGCTGAATGGATCTGTTACCCTACTTGCATATTTGTTGTTGTCACACATAAGAGCTGCATTCAGAAAAGAGTTAGCTTAAGAGTTGATGAGCTTTGGGCTTGTGTCCATGGTATCAGTTCGATACCTGTTTGAGATTCTTCTAAGAACATTCAGAATTCACTGACAGGTGCATATGACACGCAGTTGGCGTTCTTCTGACCTGCTTAAAGCAAGGTTTGCATTCTCATAGACTTGTATTGGAATGCAAAACCCTTCTGAAATGACCACAACTTGTCAACACAGGCCCTTTAAAGCATGCATTGTATTTCTAGAGGTTCCATAGTGAACCATGATGCAGCCCCAGATAGCAGCTGTGTTGGCTACTATAGAGTTACATGCCTAAACAAACTGCAAACTTGCAAGAGCAGCAGTTGTTTTTTATTAGATTCTATTTTTTATAGTCAGCGGAGTTCTGATTGGTTCCTTTTGGTTATTGTACTTTATATGTAGAGCTTATAATTCTGAAAAGTCACTGAAAGGTGCACTATCCAGCAATCTCATTTTTTATGTCATTAAAGAATGTTTTTATAGCAGCTATCTATTTTAACTAAGGCAAGGCCCTTCATCTGCTTATAAGCTAATGTGCTGCACTACATTAAATTGAAACAATAAATACAGAGATATATAGCTTTAAGTGTTAAAATTGCAGTATTTTACTGTTAGAAATCAAGTTCTAAACTAGAACTCAGACTTAGACATTTTTTATCTTTTGCTCTACAGCTGTAGATGGACATGTTATTCACTGGATAGAAAGTAAAGCCTCCTTTGGCGATGAGAGCAGCCACCGCATGTATCTACAGGAGCAATTCTGGAGCTATTGGAACAGGTCAGTCTTCGACATACCCTCCTTTAGATTTACCAACAACTGTGGTTTTTATATGGGCCTAGCTAAATAATCCATTGAATTAATACCTGGTCAGGGAACCTTGTACTACAAAGTTGTTAGTGATTGTTCAATCAGATTGTAACGTGTGTGGCCAGCATTAGGGTGAAACTTGTGGCACTACAAACTTTTTTCTGTTACTTCATCTATGCTCTCAAAATGTCTGTTATAAAAACTTTCTCATACTAACCAACAACCATGGAGATACCAATATCCAGTTTGGTCCAGTAAATCCTGCTGCTGACCACACTACTTATGGCTTCCCAAACGTTTCATGCTTTTGAAGACTCTGACCCAGAAGAGCTATGCAGATCCTGAGTTTTTACTTTACTTTGACTTTCTAAACTGCTTACTAGTTCTGGTCAGTATAGTAGCCATAGGCCTCTAGTATTTGTTTATCGTCTGCTTTTGCAGCCCCAGTTGCAATGAACAGGATCACTTTTGCCATATTGTAAGCATATTTTATATATAGTACAGTTGTACATCACTAAGTAATGTGTTATTGCTTCAAACATTATGAGTAATATTGTAGTGCTTGCCACTGTAAAACTCCTGTAATTTGTGTAACAACTATTTTTGCTTTAGCATTTTCTTTAATTTTGTTACTTGTTGCAGCAGATACAGTTATAAGTAGGGATGCACCGATACCACTTTGTTCAAGACCGAGTACAAGTACCGATACTTTTTTTTTCAAGTACTCACCGATACCAATTACTAATAGCCAGTTATCCAATTCTGTATAACTGGCTTTATATTATTATTAAACTTTTTTATAATATAAAGCCAGTTATACAGAATTGGATAACTGGCTATTGTGCCACAATATACAGTGTTCTGGAGTCTGGACATGTGCTCATCTATTTTCCCCACTAGGGGGATACAAGCCTAAGTTAGCAATATCTACATAGTTATTTCTTTATTTATTTTTAAATATTATATGTAGTTAAACAGCATTTTTGTGCCCAGCCCCCACGCAGTGCTGCAGTACTAACCTGCAGTGTCGTGTCTTCTTCTCCGTCTGCTTCAGCCACTCCGTGTCACAGCCTAGTCAAGTATAACTAAAGATAAAACTTTTTTTAATTTGAAGTGTTGTGAGGGGGCTAGAACACTGTCAGGTTTTTATTGTTGTCTGTGTCACCATAGGGAGATTCATTCTCTCTAATTCTCCTGATCACCAATGTAACATATAATAAAAATGAGGGTACATCTAAAATGTTGAGCTGCCTCCAGAACAGGAATAAGGGAGATATCTTCCAGTGGGGACATTTGTTCCCATAAATGACAACTGTCTAAGGCGGGGATTTACCTCATAGCCTCTCACTTGTCTGTAAAGGTTCTTATGTATCCAGGTCATGGTATAGCTAGTAGCAGTTAGTCACATTCAATGTTTTCTTTTTTTAATAAGGTATTTACTAGGGATACACCGATATATCGGCCGCCGGAACATATCAGCCGAAAATGGCACTTTTGGCATAATGCCCAAAGTGCCATTTTCTAGCCGATACAGTGGTGCATCCATTCTTTCTCTCCTCCCCGCTGGGCGCTGCTCTGTGTCCCAGCGGGGAGGAGAGAGACTGTCACAGGCAGAGCGTTGTGTGGGTGGAGACTGCCAGCGCCATCACAGCAGTCTGAGCTCCACTCGTTCAGCCTCTTGTGACAGCTGTCAGGATGGAGAGCGAGTACAAACACTCAGCTATCAGTGATCGCTGAGTGTTTGTAAATAATTGAGGACATAGTATGGTTACTATATCCTCAACTATGAATGAATGGGAAGTGATCTACACAACCCCCGGTAATTCATGATTGTGGTTATAGTAAACATACTCCGTCCTCATGTTATGAATGAACAGGAACACTCATAGAGGATTCCTGTTAATTTATAACAGAGTCTGCAGAATAAGAGATTGAGGACTCTCTGTCCTCAATCTCTTTTTTCTATTTTAAAAGGGAAATATCAGGGGTCTGTTTAGACCCCCAATATTTTCCCTGAAGCCCCTAAAAGTAAAGTAAAAAATAAAAATATTTAATAAAAATAAATAAATAAAAATATATATATTTTTTTTAAGTTGAAATAAAAAACATTTTCGGTTTCAGTTTCGGCCTGACATTTTTTTTCATTTCGGTTTCGTTTCGGTTTTGAAATGTTTATTTCGGTTCACCTCCTGTATTTACCTTCTGCTATCTGCACGTCCTTCCCCTGAAGCCCAGCCGGGCGAAACGTGTTGGGAAGCTTCTGGGTATCACCAGCATCATCTACGTATTTCTGGTGCACAGTAATTTAAATTGACTCACGTGTATTGGTTTATTGTAACTGCTGGCTATCCATTCTGGATGTGTAATTTGGGCAACATTACTGTTTTTATTTGGCCTACCTGTTTTTAATATATGTATAATACATTTTGTTAGATTTTTATCATTTTTGGCAAGTTGTACAACTTTGTACGCACCTCTAAAGGCCTAATTTATACATTTTCTAATATCTGTTCAATATTTAAGGGTGTGGTGAGATTTCATTGGGTGTGACTGTTCTCTATTTCTTCTTAATGGGGCATAGATATGAAAAAAACTCAGACCGGGGTTCTAACCCCTTCCCCCACTCTATGCAAAATGAAAAAAAATGTTTTTGCTTTAGATATACTTTACATCTTTTCTTGCAGTGTGCCTGTACCTGTTTGTATGCTGGGGGGGCTATGTTTACAATGCTGGGCACTGATTTTGTGCATTCTGTAAGTTATTAGGAGATGACTGTGGATCTTGGAAATGCCATTGATAAAAGTTACAGCCAAGTAGGATAATTTAATAGAATCCTGGAGTTCTTCTTTAAGGGTGCATCTCTGGTATACATGGGAACAAATGTAAACCATGTCAAAACACACTGCATGTCACTGTGGCATTTCTCATGTTAATTTCTAACTACTGTTGTGCAGAAAATAGTAACCCATTCCCTTGATTGAACAATTCTTGTTGCTGCACGTATTTTTATGTTGTGTTCAAATATCTGACTTTGTAGATGCAAAGAAAAAAAAAAGAAAAAAATGCAGAAAAAGCACCTAATATCCCAAATCAATGTATCTCAATAGACCCTGTTCATATTTCTGTTCTGTACCTGTTCCTATTGCACATGCTGCATCTACATCTTGTGTAATCTCACTGACATGCCCAATAAAATCAGGTATTTGAAAAGCACAGAAGAAATGCACCACATATAAAGTGCAGTTCCATAAGAACACAAACATGTATGGTGTAAATGTATTTCAAAACGCAGCTCTGGGAAACTAGGCGAAGTTGATTAAATCAAGTCACCATCTTACTACTAGTCCTTTGACAGCTTAACAGGACGACTGCCAACACTGTAACTGTTTTAATATTAGGAAGCTGGTGCAGTTATTGCAAACCGGTAATGTCTTTGCTCCTCACCATAAGGAACACTTTATTTGCAGTAATTAGGAGCACTCAAGCATTTTCATTGCCCTGTTGATGAGAGACTGGGCACTGAAGTATCATCAAGGCCATGCTCAGGCTGCAATATGCAGTCACATAAACTTGGCTTACCCTTGTAGGTGCTCATGGCATCTTTATTCTTGTGCCATGGGAAGCGTTTATTTGAATCTCTGGAATTACGGATCTGTTTTTTCATGGTCCTAAAACACTTCATATTTATTTGTTCTAGCATTTAAAGGGCAACTGAACCTTTAGTACAACCTGGCACCACACAGGTTTTCAGCAAGGACATCCCGGGTCCTCTTCTCAGTGTGCATACTCGTTGTAGCTTCATTCATTCCTATGAGAACGCCGTACTCATGGTGGCCGCCTGTGGCCCAGCAAAGTATAGCTTGCCTATAGGAATGAATGGAGCCATGACATTAATGCACACAAAGAAAAGGGCATTTTTGGTGGAAAGACTATGTGGCTCTGGACAGGGCCACACAGCAGCAATTGCTGAATCAAGGAGGAAGGGAAGTATTTGTCCATGTGGGCAGCACCCAGGGTGATGGGGGAAATTGTTTAACAAGGGAATAGTTGTCCATCAAGCATTGATTTACAAAAATTAAGAAGCCTTTTTTACCTTGGTGCAAAAATCACAGATATAGTCTAATAAGTATGTACCTTTAAAGTAGAACTCCCAGCCAAAACAATGTTCCCTATTTGGGAAAGAATAGGGAAGGGTTAGAATCTGCTGGCTTATTGTCCTGTTTGGGTCACCATTGGGGAAAGGAGTAGAGGATATATCTGCCTGTTGGGAAGCGTGGATTTCCCCTCAATTTGAGAGACCTCTGCTCACTTCTGCTGTGTCTCTGGGGACAAGAAGTGCAGGCAGACCTCGCTTATGGCGAATACAGACTGCAGTAAAAGGTTCTAACCTTCTCTTACTCCATTCAATGCAAATATGTTGTGGATGGGGCAACACTTTAAAGAAGACAGACGGTGTGTTCAATGTTCTTTCTATCCTGTGTCAGTGTGTCACCAGTGTTCTATAATCATTAAAATTATGAAAGCTTATATTGACTATGCTGCAAGTGGTCTAAGGAATATAGCTACATTTATTGTGAACTGAAGGCCAGTTTCAAAATATCCAAACCATTATTCACTGTCCGTGTGCAGTGATCAAAAGACATAATTGTGTTTACTGCTTACAACTTTAGGTTAAAGGAGTCTACCCTAAACATTCCCCCGTTAAAGTACAAAGTGTCAGAATGCTGCATTGTGTTTGATGATTTGCAGTAGATTTCTGGGATGGGAAAAAGTAACATGATCAGAATTCTTCCAATTATTTACACTTTATAAGAGCCCCAGTGATAAAATGGTTATCAAGTTAGAACTCGATGCATTATTGAGATTTTTTTTCCATGTGTACAAGTGATCTTTAAGTAAATGTTACCTTTTTCCTGGCTTTGGTAACCGTGATTAATTTTGACAGCTGTAGGATAGCGTGTGCTACAGTA